GCCTTCAATCATGATCAATAAAGCTGATCTTTCACTATAAAGCTCCAGTTTTAGTGCACCATTATATAGAAATATATTAACAGGGCAACAACTTACTGCAGTTAGAAAGTGAATACAGTTCGCTGATAATTAGCCTGATTAGCTACCATCAATAATCAATACACACTTTATTAAACCATTAATAAAATCAATAACTAACAGCAGGTAACGTCAGACAACATTATCATATATAGTGTTTCTGTAGTGGCGACTGAACTATTCTGAAAAACTTCGCTCTTCGCTTCCTTCGTAAAAACATGTAACTCTCGAAACACAAAATGAAGTGCGTCATATGTCGAAAGTCTTCCTGTCAATTCAGCATCAATATAACCTGTAAAGATCAACTTTATTCTGCACAAACTTTACATTGTGTTGCCTCAGATCACAAAGAGCAGCTGCAACAGAGAAGACTGACTCATGCTCGTGAGAGAGTAGTTATTAAACCAACTGTTTGGTCAAACTGAAACCAATGTCGGTAGGAAATGCTTCTAGATCCAGTAAAAGGTGAGAAATTGAATTCTTAGGTGTGAAATCCTCTTGACAGGAAGTGATTGCTCTAAGCAGAAAGCTGAGCTCAACAACAGTGAGTCTGTTATAAAAAGGATCTGGAAAGATCTCAAATAAAATCTGTCAAAGATGCATTTATTCAGTGTTTTCTGTTTTTTATAAAGTTTGTGTTTGTGTTTCAGATGCTGCAGGTCAGACTGAGGGCGACCCAGAGGAGACCCAGGAGAGAGAGGGTCTGTTCGCGCTCCACCATCGGCGAGGTGCCATCAAACAGGCCAAAATCCACGTGGTCAAATGTCACGAGTTCAGCGCCACGTTCTTCCCTCAACCGACCTTCTGCTCCGTCTGCAAAGAGTTCGTCTGGTACGTAAAAACATAAAAAAATCACTGAAAACAATCATCATTTCATTCATTATCGCACTCATGATTTCACCTGTTTTATCCGCCGCAGGGGTCTGAACAAGCAGGGGTACCAGTGCAGACGTGAGTGTCTCATTATTTCCCACAGATGGAGTCTGAGTGACGCCTTCTTTCCCCCCGTGTGCCTAACGGACATCTTTCTGTCTTTCAGAGTGCAACGCAGCCATTCACAAAAAATGCATAGACAAAGTAATCGCCAAGTGCACCGGGTCGGCCATCAACAGCAAAGAAACTATGGTAAGAATCTGCCTGGCGTACGCGTGCAGTGGATGGCGTACGTGTCCTCTCTCCCGGGCGGTCGGTTCAAAGCTGCAGTGCGTGTAAGAGATTTGTAAACTTGTGGTTTTAATGCTTACTAATCGAACAGCTCACACGGAGGCACCGGCGCTCACATTCAGCCGCTCATTTACTGCTTTTATCTTCTTACTCTTGTTTCACTTCCTCCTCAGAGGATGAGTTCATACGCACAAAACCAAAAGAGAATGCAAAACCTCGAGTTTGTGCAGCGCAGACGGACCCGCCGCCCTCCACTGCCTGCATACAGGAACTGTTTCTGCTGCACTGTGATCAGCTGTGTGACGTAAAACCTGTGTGTGTGTGTGTGTGTGTGTGTGTGCCTGCAGATCCATAAGGAGCGCTTCAAGATCGACATGCCCCACAGGTTCAGGGTCTACAACTACAAAAGTCCTACGTTCTGTGAACACTGCGGCACTCTGCTGTGGGGGCTCGCCAAGCAGGGGCTCAAATGTGAGGGTGAGAGGCGGGAGTTTTCTGTCATCTTTGTCACGTTAAAGAAACTGGACTTATGGTTTAAACTGCGTCAGGCCTGGGGGAGTTACGTAATCAGGACATATTTGATGCTGTGGTTCGACATCAGATTTCTACACAGTTAAAAAAGTTCAGTTCTAACATGCCACAGTGCTGCTGACAGCGCAGGGTGAAAGCCGGTGTGTCTCTGAACTGAACCAAAGAAATAGATCTTTATATTGAACAGCCTGAAGGACAGAAATAATGAGCACTGACTGATAATATTCTCAGTATGTACAGATAATGTTTGCATACAGAGCGGGGAGTGAGAGCCGATCACAAATGTGGAGACACATTTAATGCCATCGGATCCCCCAGGACGCTGACTGTAATGTCTATACAGTCATTAAATAATAACATATCATAGTTTTGTAAAACATTTTTTCGATTCAAAAGGTATTATTTGTCACACACTGTCAGTATGTGGAGTAATGATGTAATACTACTCTGCAGTTAGTAAAACAAACAGACAGAAACGTGAGGATAAAAAGTTATCATACGTATCGCTCTGACGTAACATTAATCAGTACTTCTCCTGAAATGCAGTAACACTAAAGTAAAGAGCCTGTTGCAGATATTTGTGTTAAAACAGAAAAATAAATACTCAAAAAGATTAGATACATAAACAAATATTAGAATATTAGAATGATATTGATCCAGTGTATCCAGTGTAGCTGTAGAAGTACAGCTAAATCTCTATTATATATAATATCTATCTATCTATTGATATTATTGATCAAAATCACAAGTTTCCCTCAAACAGTTTTACAGTCGTAAAAACCTTCTTTTTTTTTTTAAAACGTTGACATTTGATTGAAAGAAACCACAGTGGAAAATGTGCACACAGAGGTCAGTAGGAGTCAGCAGGAGTAGTTTATGAAACCTATAAGTGCTAGCAGCGTTATTTTCACCTCCACATTTAAACCTCTAGTTCACCCAGTTTCAACCCAGAATCACCAACAGCAGCAACAACAAGGTAAACTATGCACTACATCTTATCGTATCTTTACATCACACAGCAATATTCTTATAGCCTCGGTTCAGATCAGTTAAAACCACAGCAGATAAATATGCCACAGACACACACAGAGGTCAGCGGATGGAGAGACTTTATGAAAGCTAAGTGCTTTTCAGCTGGTAAAAGGAACATTTAAACCTCCAGTTTACTCAGTTTCGACACAGAATCACCAACAGCAGCAATCATTTAGTCTCCAATCTAACACGATACTCTTCCAACAGCTGGAACAGCAGCACATATTTCAGCATTTTCCCATCAGGAACCTGCAGGAACTCACTGCAGCTGCTGCAGCAGCTGGAAGTTCGTCAGATTTACAATACGAGCCCGCACACTGGTGTCAGTGTGTGTGGGGAGCGAGGGTCTGAGTACAGGGTATTATATAACAACCACCATCAACAGATTTTAACAGCAGTTGCTAACATGGAGGCAGTGGGCTTCATGAGCTGTACTGCAGTCAGCCACCAGGGGGAGATAGAGAGAGAGTCTATATAGTTGTGCGAGTGCTCTTACTCTGGGACAATAATCTGGTTCCTATGCTGGGATTTTATGCAACCATTCTTGTTACTGGTTAAATCGGTTAAATCGAGCTCAATATTAGCCGTAAGATCTCATTAAAACACAGTGAGAGATACTTTCTATAATGTAAAACCTGCTGACAAAAATAGGACTCATTTCCCAGAGGAGATAACGAATCTGTGTTCTGTATGGCAGTTTTTTTATGTCGGGATAAACTGTGGTGATGCTGTGTTTTCTGTGCAGAATGCAGCATGAACGTCCATCACAAATGCCAGAAGAAAGTAGCCAACCTCTGCGGGGTCAACCAGAAGCTGATGGCTGAGGCTCTGGCCGTCATCGAAAGTCAACAGCAGGTCGGAAACCAAGCTTTCTAATATCTGTACTTTTATTTTCGACCTTACTAAACCTTCCTGAAGGAGTTGTATGTTCTGGTCCGTGCACAGAAAGGTTACAAGGGTTTTCAGATCTTCTGTTTCCTGGTTCGACTCTAAAAGTTTTGACCTTAAAATGCTCAACAACATAGATCAAATCCCTAAAACCAGTCTGACAGTCCGACCTTCTGCCTTCAGGCCCGAAGCACCAGAGAACCTGATATCATCGGTCGAGAAGGTCCGGTGGGCGTCGGCCAGCCAGGGGTGGTCCGAGCTCCATCGGGGTTAGAAACCAGCACGGCGGCCGCAGCTACGCCTGCAAACAAAGGTACGAACCCTCTAAAAGCTTCACCCACATGCAGCCCGTCACTTCCTCTCCATGGTTCTTTAACGCTTCTCGACCTGCGTCTTCCTGCAGAGGTGCAGGGGGTTGCGTGGGACGGACCGGGGGACGTCGGCAGGTCGATCGCGGAGCTGCCGACAGGAGACGACCCACTGTACGCCGTCCCAAATAAGGAACGCCAGCCCAAGTTCAGCGTCGACGACTTTGTCCTGCACAAGATGCTCGGGAAGGGCAGCTTCGGAAAGGTACCGGACGGCGAGCTGAACTGAGGGAGCTGCTTTAATATTTCCACTGTTATTATTAATATTATATGTATATTGTAGTCCGCTGTAACCTGCTGGGGTTGGACTGTCAGCAGGGGCGGATCTAGACCAATGGTTCCCAACCTGGAGGTCGGGACCGCCACTAGGGGTCGCCAAAGCGTAGCAGCAGGCTGGTATCTTGACATTTAGTTCAGCTTCATAAATTAAATTGTTATTATTAAAGTTTAGATTATTTACGATGTAAACCTGAACACAGTTTATATTCACAGAACCCTCAGCCTCGTCCTGCTTTAGAAAACAATTCAGTCTGTATGATTGTTAAAAATGAAACAAATATATAATACAAACAGAGGATTGTATAAAAAGTTACTAAAAATATTCAATCATCAATATTCACAGGAAATAATGTGCCTCCAGCAGTTATTGAGTTCACTGTTTGGGTTCATTGTTCCGTTTATCCGCTGTTCTCTGCTGTTATTGATATTATTGAATATAGGATACAAATATTATATATATAAAAATGTTGGGAACCACTGCTGTCGAAAATATTCATCAGGTGGCAGAAATATATTGTAATTTAATCATAGTGGAAGCAGGGTGAACATGAGGCACCCAAACATATAATTCAAAGTACAAAGCTTACAGGATGGTGAGGGTCCAAAAAGGGGGACGGGCAAGAAACCCAATAAAACCCACAGAAAGTCCAAAACCAGCAGGAAACACAGTGGAAGGCTGACACACAGGTGAGACACAGGTGAACCTAATGAGGGCGGGGCAGACTGGAGGGAAAACAGACAGGAAGACCCTTTCAACATAAAACTTCTGCTCTGATTTTAATGGCAAATTGCAAACCAACTTATAAAGGTGCATACCGCCACCTACTGTACCAGAGTGTGTAACATCAGGGTTTCACATACTGAAGGTTTTAATGGTCTTAATCTTAACCAAACCACTTCCTCTCTTCTACACTTCCCTTTGAAACTGGACCACAATGGAAACAATTATCCTCCACATTTTGTTAATTTAAGGTTATTAAGACGTTATATTTTGCTAGATGAGTGTCGGTGGGATGGATGAATGTGTCCCCTCTCAGTTTCATATGTTGTGTATTATATGATTATCTTATATTTAGAACAATCTATGAAAAGCAGTTTAAAAACAGGAAGACCACGTTCGGAGACTTTGTCACTCTCAAACAGCAGGTTGTGGTCATGGTCTGGTTCAGCCAGTTTTCACAGAAAAACCACTGACTTCTCTCCGCTCTGACGCCATCTTTGGGGGGGGTGATGGGGAAAGGTTCAGCGTCCAGCGACAGCAGTTCTGTCTCTGCTGTGTTTGCAGGTGTTTTTAGCTGAGCTGAAGAAGAGCGGGAAGTTCTTTGCGGTGAAGGCTCTGAAGAAGGACGTGGTGCTGATGGACGACGACGTCGAGTGCACCATGGTGGAGAGGAGAGTCCTCTCGTTGGCCTGGGAGAATCCTTTCCTCACACACCTTTACTGCACCTTTCAGACCAAGGTAACGTCCCGCCCACACCTCGCTCAGGTCTCAGCTCCTCGGCCGGCCACGCCCCTGACCTCTCTCTGCATCTTCTGTGTGTCCAGGAGAACCTCTTCTTCGTGATGGAGTACCTGAACGGAGGAGACCTCATGTTTCACATCCAGAACTGCCACAAGTTTGACCTGCACAGAGCCACGTATGTATCCCGTCCTCAGCCCTGAATCGGACCAAAGGTGGTACCAGGACCCTAATTCAGCAAAACCCTTAACACAACTCAACTCAACACAACACAACACAACACAACACAACAGAACACAACAGAACTCAACACAACACAACACAACTCAACACAACACAACACAACACAACAGCAACACAACTCAACTCAACACAACTCAGACACAACACAACACAACAGAACCACAACAGAACTCAACACAACACAACACAAAGCTCAAACACAACACAACTCAACTCAAACCACAACACAACATGACACACCACAACACAACTCAACTCAAAACACAACGTCAGACAAACACAACAGAACTCAACTCAACACAACAGAACACAACAGAACTCAACACAACCGACCCCTGAACGATACCCATTTTTCAGCGCTGTTTTCTGCCTAAGCTAGTTGTGTGTTTACAAAAAGACACAGTTATGTAGGCGATAATTACCGCCCGTATTCTGCCTCTGACTGGCTCTAACATCAACTACATCAGTGTTACATTTCAAATGAAAAAAAAAAATGTATTCAAAAATAAATATCAATTATTAACAATATAGGAAATCATTCCCACAGTCTAATCCCACTGATAAGAGAGGCTGTAGCTGTTGACAAAATTGTCAAAAAGTTGATCTTTATTGATTATATTGATGCCGTATTGTCAGTCAGACTGTCGACATGTGACGCACTTTATCTCGTGTTTCTAGAGTTACGTGTTGTTACACGCAAATTGTTAAAATGTGATATTTCTTAAAGGGAATTTGGTGCAATATATTCCCTGAAAGTACAGAACACAATGAAAACTAATATTTTTATATACAATAATGCAATAAACTGACATTTATAGTGAAGCAGCAGCTTTGTTGGTCATGACTGAAATAAAAATAAATTCTTGCCACATTGTGAATTAAAATATATAAAAGTTGTTATGAACACTTTGTGGTCTATAAGAAGAATTTGGGCAGATGATGCAGCTGTGCAGGTGTGGACTGTTTGTACTGTTTGCCTTGTCTTGCTATGAATCCTCTTTGTGTCTTCCTGCAGTTTCTACGCAGCTGAGATCATCTGCGGACTCCAGTTCCTGCACTCTAAAGGAATCATTTACAGGTAGAGTCTGAGCACGAGCCACAGAACCGAGAACTGGAACAAGTTGTCTTCAGTGTTTAATGAATTATACAAAAAAGAAAATAAATAATGGCAACAATTTTTGCAATTTGAACTTTCTCCTGCAGTTTCAATGCTGCAACAATCCCCCAAAAACAAGCCTGCGACATCGTGGAGGGAGCGTTTTATGCTGTATTATTGTCCTCACATCCTCCTGTTGCTCTGCAGGGATCTGAAGCTGGATAACGTGCTGCTGGACTCTGAGGGTCACATAAAGATAGCGGACTTTGGGATGTGTAAGGAGAACATGCAGGAGGACTTGCGGACGTCCACCTTCTGCGGGACACCCGACTACATCGCCCCCGAGGTGACCGCACACACTGCGTCCTAACAGAAACTGGAGAGTCTGTAAAACCAGAGATTTGGATGAATTTAGAGATTATTTCCTGTCAATATTGATCACAGATGAGGTTTCCTGATATTTTTTAGGAACTTTTTATACAATTCTCTGTCTGTATTATGTATTTTTTTTACATTTTTAACAATCAAACAGGCTTTGACAGATTCAGTGTTTTCTTCTCATTGTTCTATTAGCTCTTTGGTTGTTTTAATTTGATCAGAGACTGAATCTAAAATAATCAACTAAACTTTAAAAAATATGAAAAATATTTAATTTAGTTTTTCTCCACAGAAATGGAGTAGAAGATATAGACCTTCTTTATATAGGTTTAAAATGTTCTTACATTATTTCATAAAGAAAAAAGCAACAAATATCAGACTGTTTGCTGTTATTTAAGTTTTAAATTTAGAAAATCTACAGTGCAACCAGAGTGTGTGTGTGTGTGTGTGTGTCAGATCCTGCTGGGTCAGAAGTACAACAGCGCCGTGGACTGGTGGTCGTTCGGGGTTCTGCTGTACGAGATGCTGATCGGTCAGTCTCCGTTCCATGGCCGAGACGAGGAGGAGCTGTTTCAGTCCATACGAACGGACAACCCCGTCTATCCTCGCTGGCTCACCAAAGACGCCAAAGACATTCTGATCAAGGTCAGTCAACAACTACTCTATAGCCGCAGTAATCTATAGCAGAGGTCAGTTACATGCTGTACTTTTGTACATTTTATTGTTACATAATCTTTTTTATGTTATCATTAACTGACTTTTTATCCAGTTTGAAGCCACATTTTTACCATCCACTGAAGGATGAAGGGTTAAGTCGTCGGACGTATGGATCTTAAATTATCAGAGAAACAAGCTGAGCTAAGGTTAGCAGCAGCTTGGCTCACAGCCCCTCTGAGACGCCTGTTTTTACCAGTTTTAATCAGTTCATTTTGCAGAGGAGAAGACAGTAGAAACCTCCTAAACAATGAACACTGAAGGAGTCCTAACTGGGAGAAGCTGACTGCAATAGTAACAACACATGAAATTGACTATACAGCGACTGTCTTGCCAAAACAAACTGATGGTAATACCTGTCAGAAACAAGACAGAAACTAGTGCTTTATGTTTTGAAAGATCCCTGCCTTTGTGTCTGTTTGTGAAGCTTAAAACAACGTCTGGAACAATCTGTTTTTCACTAAACACCTCTTTATGATCTAAAATAGATCCTGAGGATATGGACTGGCCGCAGAGGACAATCTTAGAACTGCAGAGCGTCTGATAGGCTCCTATGAGAACATCTCAGTCTGGGCTCAGGTCCAATGACTTATTATAAATGTTTTCTTACGTGTAATGTCTGGTTTCACTTTCTTAGGGTCATAACAGGGGTGATGTTCACAGTTTGAGAACAGCTCTGAGTCTTAATCTGTCAGTCTGCTTTCCAACAATAGTGCTGACTCATTCAAGGCAATAAAGGGCTGCCTGTATTTACTTGTCGAAGCAGGGGATTACATTTTGTGTGGATTCTTTAATCAGACACTCAAGTGATTTTCCATACAACCTCTCTGAGCTGGATACAACTCAGAATATTTCAATATTATCAGAATGATATAGAAAAATGTTTTGGGATATACAAATATATTCTCATGGATCCTGGTGGTGCCTGCTGCCATAGTCCTGCTTGAATCCCACTGATATTATTATTATTATTATTATTATTATTATTATTATTGTCCATCGTCCCCCATCAATGTGGCTTGGTTGCGTCGTCATCATTCATCTTCCATTCAATTCATCATCATCTATCATCTCATCATCAGTCATTTCTATTAGTATAGTTGTTGCTACTCATTGTTGTGCAGCCTTTGTCTCTGTCTCTGTCCTCTGTCCTTTACCCCCCATACCCCCCTCTCCCTTCTCACCCCAACTGGTCAAAGGCAGACATTGCCACCCACCTAGAGCCAAAGGGTCTTTCTGAGGTTTCTGCCTCTTAAAAGCAGTTTTTCCTTGCCGTCCGTTGCCAAGTCTTGCTCATGGTTTGGTTACTGTGGCGTCTCTGTAAATGTTATACGGAGTTCGGGTCTAGACCTGCTCGTATTTTGAAAAGGTGCCCTGGAGATAACTTCTGTTATTGAATTGGCGCTATACAACATAAAAATTGACATTGAATTGAAATTATGTATTTTCATTCTGTTAAGATAGAAGGTAACACTAAGCTATAGTTTATAATCCACAAGCAAGATTATTAAACATATGAACTTGGTTCTATTCGACTCTTTGTTCGAATCTCAAGGAAAACATATCTGATGCGTAGTAAGATACATTTGTCTTAATCTTGGTATTATATGAACACTTGGAATCTTGCATGAGTAAGAATGTTCGTATACACTTGCTTCCATGCTTACATTTCACGACCTACATCCGTTAAAATCTAGCCAACGCAACCTGAACAATGTTCCTGAAACTGATATATAATTAACAAGTCTAACAACTGCTAAGGGTCCAAGACCAAGTACATCAGTT